CTAACGCTTTAATGGTTTCAGGGAAAATGGGAGATGGATTCACTGAGGCATGTATAAGCTCCATTTCTTTTACTTTTGAACTGAACCCCCCCCTCATAATTTAAAAATGTTTTTAGCTAATGTGTTTAGAACTATAAAGAGTTTCTCACATAAGTATTTCAAATAATTAAAAAAAAACAATTCCGAAGATTAAATAATCCGTGGGAGAATTTCCCCCATTTCATTATATCATTACATGTTGTTACATAACTAACACAACTCTTCTCTTTAATGCCATTCAGCTTTTCAAAGTAATGTAACTAATATAGGAGTCTGGGAAAGGCTTGCATTGTAATTACCCCCAATGCCATCAACAGTTCCCCACTGTGCTGGCACGAATTCCCAGCCATTTATTTCCTGTCCTTTTCATGCTGGAGGGAGGCTGGATTTAGGATGAAGGTCTTGGGAGTCACATGGAGCAAAGTTTTTGATTGATGTCCAAAAGCCATTACTGCACTTTTCTCAGGCGTGCAGAGCAGTGCTGAACTTTGATGCTGCTTCTGAATGCAGCCGATTCATAGATTGTTTTTAAATTGCATTCATTTGTTGTGGTGAATTTGTCCGCTGCATTTTCATCATGTTTCAAGCCTCCAGCCGGCATCAATTCGTTTAAACTTCTCCTCTTGCAACTTTGAAGACTATTAAGAAGACCATCGATATGACTGAGGAGAGCAAAGCCGAACACAGAGCCGAAAGTGGGAAAGATTTAGAGAAACAGCTCCGTTTGCGAGTTTGTGTTTTGAACGAACTTTTGAAGACCGAACGGGATTATGTTGGGACGCTGGAGTTTCTCTCGGTAAGTGCGACTTGGGTAGTCGTTTCATCGGATAATTTAATATTTTTTTGAATGTTGATAAGCAAGCATTGCCCACCTATGCAGACACCCGACTAGAACGCTCCGGTTATAATCAAATAAACACATGCAGCTGTAAGCGCGCACATCATCTTTGCGTTCCTGGGCGCATGAGAGTCTAGAAGAGTCAGTGAGTTTTGTGATATGGAAACTAGAAAGCGTACAAACGGCGTACTGTTGCTATGGTTACTCCGTCAGGTAACGTCTATTTGGCGCAACGCGAAAATACTTTCATCGCTGTTGAAACAATTAATTCCCTCATTAAACATATGAATTCTAATTTGCAAAAATATGTGCCTTTTTAGACATTCATTTGGACAAGTGGTCCAAGTTTCGCTTAGAAATAATTCGCATCCTCAATGGGCGCGTTCTAGTTGTCGCGTCGCTCGCTTGCAGATATGGGCTGCACTGGACGCGTCTGTTTAGTGTGAGTGAATGAGCAGCATCAGAGGTCTTGCGGTGAACCTCAAAACCCAGACCGTGCCATGCCTGTCAATCCCGTTGATCGCTTTGGTTTGTAGCTCTATCTAAGAAGAAAAAGCACAGAGTAATTTGTCTCAATTTAATGTGTGCTTCTTGTTTTGTTTCTGCATTGGAGCGCTTCTCTCCAGTTGACCCTAAGAACGCATGCAGTGTCTGGATTCACAGAGAAAAAGTTGATTGCTCAGAGGTTTTATAGCTCAGGAGACTAACTCTCAGTTGCTTGTTTGTAGCCTACATCTCAGTTTCTCCTCAGATATTTCTCCTAAAATGAAAATCGACACATATGTGGACAGCACTGACTTCTCTGAGTTTTGATTGCAGGTATCTTGGCAAATCTGAGACATTATTGAGAACTCTTTCTGAAATTTAAACACGAGATTGGATTGTGGTCTTTTTTTCTCGGGAGAAACATCTCGGAATTTGAAGACTTGAGTAGAAAGTCTCAATTTCTCAAATGAGATATCCAGCCCTGAAACTTGCAGATGAAAAATTACAATAAAATTGAAAGATTTTATCCTAAACATTATGCATGGTTATAATCTCCAAACTGGATGTCTCTAGCAGGTATGCGTCTGTCCATGATTTGCTCAGGCTCAGTGAGCAGAATAGGTAAATGCTTTTGAGTCTGAGCCAAGAACTGAGGCAAAGCAGGTGGACTGAAAGTGAAAACCTCAGACTGGCACACTGTGGGACTCTACCAACTAATATCATTTCTTCCTCTACTGGAAACCGTAAACCCTTTGGTCCGATAGGGGAATTGAAGACTGGGAGGAAAGGAAATTATTATTTTTTGTTTGTGTAATGCAGAATTTTTCAGGTACATAAGGAAAAAGTTATATACATAAGGAAATTAGTGGCTAACCACTTATTCATGTTTAAAGTTTGAAGCTACATTAAAATTGAAGCGAGCAAAGAGAGCATGAAATTGAGTTTTATAAAGTCTGAAATGATTCAAGTTTAAATGAACCACCAGATGATACATCCTTGTCATGGATATCCATGTTGTTGTTTATATGTAATGATGACCCTGTTTCCCACTCTTCATGCACAAGCTCACATTTCCCATCTGGAGACAGTGTCACAAGTGGTTCCCAAACTGATTCAAACAAAATGAAATCAATCTGTTCAGACCATTTTGATCCAATTAAATAAATCATTAGCCTGTGGAGATCATATTTGGAAGACAGACCTCCAGAATGTGATGACTATTTTATAAACCAGCCCAGATCATTCTGACCACGTTTGGATGTAGTCACTCATCTGTCAATCATCCATTGCACTAAAAGAAGGCCCCCCCACACCCACCCCCATCGTATTCAGTATTTTCAGTGACTTTGGAAAAGAGTCTAATGGAATGTTCCGAGACTCGCTGCCCTGTTTTAATTGGCCCTGTTTTGAGCTCATTTGCAACCTCAGACACCTCGATCTAAAAGTGTTCAGTTTACTTAGATTATTCCTAATTGGTTTGCCGTTCCAGCCAAACATTTAGGTTTGTTTTATTGCCAGTGCTAAACATGATTTCTTCATTCTAACAGAGGTAAAAAAGTCCTTCTTTTGATGATGAAAGCATGCCGTTGTACCCCCAAGTGAGATTAGGAGGTCAAGGAGGCAACTTTATCAATCCAAGTCACTGGGAAATATCACCCGCATGCTCTCAAGGATCAAAGCCTCCACGGGTGCCACTGCAGGTCTTTGATTGATCGCTTTCAACCGATCATCTTGCGCAGAAATGCCCATGTGCCTCAACCAGAATTCCTCAATGTCTAGACCAAAAAAATGGGCAGGGTTTGGGGGGCTAAAGGAAGCCTGTGCAGAATTGAAGATAGATGATAACAACAGGCCACGGTAGAGGACAATGGCTGTTGGGGGGTGGTGGTGTTTCATGGCCCAGAGGGCCCAGAGGACCGGTGCCATGCTGAACAGAGGGCATTTTGTGTTTGTGAGAATTAGATGAAGGGGGTCTCTTCCAGACATGGGCGTCGCTAGGCCATTTTTAGGGGGGGCTATAGCCCTAATGACTACTCAGCCCCCCTAAAATTTTGCAATTAGCTATATATATATATATATATATATATATATATATATATATATATATATATATATACACTGAACAGTATATGGCACCATACAAGTCCATGTCTTTTAGATGTAACTGTCTAACACTAGAGGGCAGTGTCTGATAGCAATAAAGCAGTGTCACATCCTCTCACTCACTCAGCTCTGATGCTGCTGTATCCCATTTCTTCATAAACGAAACATGTCTCGGTTCACGTCATAACATTTTAACCTAGGCTAGTAGATGGTCTCTGATTTGACCACAGCAGAGCTCCTCCAGAGGATACTGTGCTCAGTGAGTCAATAACTGGGCAATATTAAATATTTGGCTCGGCTGATCAAATTTTATTGAGCTATTTCAATTTGGCACTGCACAGGGCAAACACTCGGTCCGCCGAGGGAAGTAAGCAGACTGGTGCTGAGAATACAAGAGCACAGGCCTCATTTCAGAGACCTCCTTGCTTGAGAGTCAAATATCATCCTGTAGAGCTGAGCAAAAAGGGCACAGCTATGAGAAATAAAAATGTTTGGCAGGGAAACTCTATCATAAGAATATGTATATCGGCAGCACAATCACACTGCAAAAACTGATAACCTGCAATAGTTATTTTAAAGAGATATTTCTATCTGATTTAACTCATATACATTTTTGAGTTGTATAAATTAATATAGGTTGTTTCGGCAATATTAAATCATATTTTAAATGTAATTATAACCAATTCATATTTAACCGTTTATAGATTTTTTGGGGTTGTCTTGCATTAAATAACAAGAAAATCATGGGATTGGTTGTTTCTTATATAACTACAGTGAAATAAATGGTGTAGAAACACATTTTCAGAAGGTGCAAGTAAATGTCATAATTACAAAGAAACAGCAAATAGAACATTGAATTAAACATGAATTTTTGTGAAGTTGAAAAACTGAAATAGTATCTTCTACACACCACAATAATCAGCACTCTAATCATTTTCGCAGTGTAGGCTAAATTTTAGTCTTCCCAAATGGAACATATTGTGTAAGGTCTTTTTTTCTTTCTAACTTTTTCTTTTTCGCTCTTTCTAACGCTTTAATGGTTTCAGGGAAAATGGGAGATGGATTCACTGAGGCATGTATAAGCTCCATTTCTTTTACTTTTGAACTGAACCCCCCCCTCATAATTTAAAAATGTTTTTAGCTAATGTGTTTAGAACTATAAAGAGTTTCTCACATAAGTATTTCAAATAATTAAAAAAAAACAATTCCGAAGATTAAATAATCCGTGGGAGAATTTCCCCCATTTCATTATATCATTACATGTTGTTACATAACTAACACAACTCTTCTCTTTAATGCCATTCAGCTTTTCAAAGTAATGTAACTAATATAGGAGTCTGGGAAAGGCTTGCATTGTAATTACCCCCAATGCCATCAACAGTTCCCCACTGTGCTGGCACGAATTCCCAGCCATTTATTTCCTGTCCTTTTCATGCTGGAGGGAGGCTGGATTTAGGATGAAGGTCTTGGGAGTCACATGGAGCAAAGTTTTTGATTGATGTCCAAAAGCCATTACTGCACTTTTCTCAGGCGTGCAGAGCAGTGCTGAACTTTGATGCTGCTTCTGAATGCAGCCGATTCATAGATTGTTTTTAAATTGCATTCATTTGTTGTGGTGAATTTGTCCGCTGCATTTTCATCATGTTTCAAGCCTCCAGCCGGCATCAATTCGTTTAAACTTCTCCTCTTGCAACTTTGAAGACTATTAAGAAGACCATCGATATGACTGAGGAGAGCAAAGCCGAACACAGAGCCGAAAGTGGGAAAGATTTAGAGAAACAGCTCCGTTTGCGAGTTTGTGTTTTGAACGAACTTTTGAAGACCGAACGGGATTATGTTGGGACGCTGGAGTTTCTCTCGGTAAGTGCGACTTGGGTAGTCGTTTCATCGGATAATTTAATATTTTTTTGAATGTTGATAAGCAAGCATTGCCCACCTATGCAGACACCCGACTAGAACGCTCCGGTTATAATCAAATAAACACATGCAGCTGTAAGCGCGCACATCATCTTTGCGTTCCTGGGCGCATGAGAGTCTAGAAGAGTCAGTGAGTTTTGTGATATGGAAACTAGAAAGCGTACAAACGGCGTACTGTTGCTATGGTTACTCCGCCAGGTAACGTCTATTTGGCGCAACGCGAAAATACTTTCATCGCTGTTGAAACAATTAATTCCCTCATTAAACATATGAATTCTAATTTGCAAAAATATGTGCCTTTTTAGACATTCATTTGGACAAGTGGTCCAAGTTTCGCTTAGAAATAATTCGCATCCTCAATGGGCGCGTTCTAGTTGTCGCGTCGCTCGCTTGCAGATATGGGCTGCACTGGACGCGTCTGTTTAGTGTGAGTGAATGAGCAGCATCAGAGGTCTTGCGGTGAACCTCAAAACCCAGACCGTGCCATGCCTGTCAATCCCGTTGATCGCTTTGGTTTGTAGCTCTATCTAAGAAGAAAAAGCACAGAGTAATTTGTCTCAATTTAATGTGTGCTTCTTGTTTTGTTTCTGCATTGGAGCGCTTCTCTCCAGTTGACCCTAAGAACGCATGCAGTGTCTGGATTCACAGAGAAAAAGTTGATTGCTCAGAGGTTTTATAGCTCAGGAGACTAACTCTCAGTTGCTTGTTTGTAGCCTACATCTCAGTTTCTCCTCAGATATTTCTCCTAAAATGAAAATCGACACATATGTGGACAGCACTGACTTCTCTGAGTTTTGATTGCAGGTATCTTGGCAAATCTGAGACATTATTGAGAACTCTTTCTGAAATTTAAACACGAGATTGGATTGTGGTCTTTTTTTCTCGGGAGAAACATCTCGGAATTTGAAGACTTGAGTAGAAAGTCTCAATTTCTCAAATGAGATATCCAGCCCTGAAACTTGCAGATGAAAAATTACAATAAAATTGAAAGATTTTATCCTAAACATTATGCATGGTTATAATCTCCAAACTGGATGTCTCTAGCAGGTATGCGTCTGTCCATGATTTGCTCAGGCTCAGTGAGCAGAATAGGTAAATGCTTTTGAGTCTGAGCCAAGAACTGAGGCAAAGCAGGTGAACTGAAAGTGAAAACCTCAGACTGGCACACTGTGGGACTCTACCAACTAATATAATTTCTTCCTCTACTGGAAACCGTAAACCCTTTGGTCCGATAGGGGAATTGAAGACTGGGAGGAAAGGAAATTATTATTTTTTGTTTGTGTAATGCAGAATTTTTCAGGTACATAAGGAAAAAGTTATATACATAAGGAAATTAGTGGCTAACCACTTATTCATGTTTAAAGTTTGAAGCTACATTAAAATTGAAGCGAGCAAAGAGAGCATGAAATTGAGTTTTATAAAGTCTGAAATGATTCAAGTTTAAATGAACCACCAGATGATACATCCTTGTCATGGATATCCATGTTGTTGTTTATATGTAATGATGACCCATGTTTCCCACTCTTCATGCACAAGCTCACATTTCCCATCTGGAGACAGTGTCACAAGTGGTTCCCAAACTGATTCAAACAAAATGAAATCAATCTGTTCAGACCATTTTGATCCAATTAAATAAATCATTAGCCTGTGGAGATCATATTTGGAAGACAGACCTCCAGAATGTGATGACTATTTTATAAACCAGCCCAGATCATTCTGACCACGTTTGGATGTAGTCACTCATCTGTCAATCATCCATTGCACTAAAAGAAGGCCCCCCCACACCCACCCCCATCGTATTCAGTATTTTCAGTGACTTTGGAAAAGAGTCTAATGGAATGTTCCGAGACTCGCTGCCCTGTTTTAATTGGCCCTGTTTTGAGCTCATTTGCAACCTCAGACACCTCGATCTAAAAGTGTTCAGTTTACTTAGATTATTCCTAATTGGTTTGCCGTTCCAGCCAAACATTTAGGTTTGTTTTATTGCCAGTGCTAAAGATGATTTCTTCATTCTAACAGAGGTAAAAAAGTCCTTCTTTTGATGATGAAAGCATGCCGTTGTACCCCCAAGTGAGATTAGGAGGTCAAGGAGGCAACTTTATCAATCCAAGTCACTGGGAAATATCACCCGCATGCTCTCAAGGATCAAAGCCTCCACGGGTGCCACTGCAGGTCTTTGATTGATCGCTTTCAACCGATCATCTTGCGCAGAAATGCCCATGTGCCTCAACCAGAATTCCTCAATGTCTAGACCAAAAAAATGGGCAGGGTTTGGGGGGCTAAAGGAAGCCTGTGCAGAATTGAAGATAGATGATAACAACAGGCCACGGTAGAGGACAATGGCTGTTGGGGGGTGGTGGTGTTTCATGGCCCAGAGGGCCCAGAGGACCGGTGCCATGCTGAACAGAGGGCATTTTGTGTTTGTGAGAATTAGATGAAGGGGGTCTCTTCCAGACATGGGCGTCGCTAGGCCATTTTTAGGGGGGGCTATAGCCCTAATGACTACTCAGCCCTCCTAAAATTTTGCAATTAGCTCCATAAACTGTACACGAATTTGTGATCGCCTCAGTTCCATTTAAATTTCATATTAAAATGGCGGCAGACTTCGAATGGCTCCTCCCCTTCTTTCAGCACGCAGAGCGAGAAACAGAGGACAAGGTGTGTGTTTAACGATAGATCGATAGATAGATAGATATAATATCTGCATCTGTGAGTCCTTCTTTTGATGATGAAAGCATGCCGTTGTACCCCCAAGTGAGATTAGGAGGTCAAGGAGGCAACTTTATCAATCCAAGTCACTGGGAAATATCACCCGCATGCTCTCAAGGATCAAAGCCTCCACGGGTGCCACTGCAGGTCTTTGATTGATCGCTTTCAACCGATCATCTTGCGCAGAAATGCCCATGTGCCTCAACCAGAATTCCTCAATGTCTAGACCAAAAAAATGGGCAGGGTTTGGGGGGCTAAAGGAAGCCTGTGCAGAATTGAAGATAGATGATAACAACAGGCCACGGTAGAGGACAATGGCTGTTGGGGGGTGGTGGTGTTTCATGGCCCAGAGGGCCCAGAGGACCGGTGCCATGCTGAACAGAGGGCATTTTGTGTTTGTGAGAATTAGATGAAGGGGGTCTCTTCCAGACATGGGTGTCGCTAGGCCATTTTTAGGGGGGGCTATAGCCCTAATGACTACTCAGCCCCCCTAAAATTTTGCAATTAGCTCCATAAACTGTACACGAATTTGTGATCGCCTCAGTCCCATTTAAATTTCATATTAAAATGGCAGCAGACTTCGAATGGCTCCTCCCCTTCTTTCAGCACGCAGAGCGAGAAACAGAGGACAAGGTGTGTGTTTAACGATAGATCGATAGATAGATAGATATAATATCTGCATCTGTGCAGTTCTGTTCTTTGTCATAAATACAGTTTACAAAATATAAATCGGTTCGCCATCTACTGTAGCCTAAGTTTTCGCTGCGTGCACCCCTCATCACACCACACAGCTGTTTCCTCCAGTGAAAATGAAGCACATATGAACGCATACTTTATAAAACGCTCATGTTGCCATTTCATTTGAAAATTTAACTTTCAATGCAATACATTTTCCAGTGCATGCGGCAAAGAGGTTTGCATACTTGAGCTAAGGAAAGAGGGTTGTACTAGAAATGCAAACAGTAAAATGTTGTGTGTGTGTGTGTGTGAGATCATGAAGACTTGTATTTGGCTTATTCAGTTATAAGTTATACCTATGCAATATAGTGGAATACTGCACTTTTTAGTATATAAATTTAGCATACCAACCCTATTAGTCAAACATTTTTTGTATATATATATATTATACCCTCATTGGCGGCTGAGCCCCCCCTAAAATGAAAATCCTAGAATCACCCCTGCTTCCAGACAATATGGCTCCCTGGTGGAACCGGCCTGGAGGTATTGCCAGTAGAGGGAATGTGACGTGAGATCCCGGCCTCTTTGCCCTCTGTTGTAAAGTACATTTCCTGGTGGAGGAATTCCGGAGAGGTTAGAAGAAATTTGGAAACAATGGTGGATAAGTTGCCTTGTTTGAATCCAGGGGAGAGTTGGCTACATCGGATCAGTTTTGCTCACTCACGGTTGGTTAGTTTGTTCTTGGAGAGGAATTGTTCTTTAAAATGGCTGTTGAGTTGGTATTTAGTGTAAAATACCAGCTGCACTAACTGACAGTTACTTGGCATGCTACGCAGTTGTGTCTAGCTGTCAGATGAGCCAAGAACAGTGTCTGGCAGTTCACATGAGACAGAGGAAGTCTCTTAAAAGATCTTTTCTGAGATATCCCTAGAATGGCTTACATAACAGCTTGATATATATCTGATAGTGGGAGGTTTCAGGTTTCATTTTTTTTATTTGTTAACTGGAGACTAAGAATGACGATCCTCCATAACAAGTGCCTCACTGAAGAGATTTCTATGCTCTTTTACTATATATGCCCTTGAGATTATAGGTCACTCAAGCAAATGAGAACTACAACTGACCAGCAGGAGCGTTCATCAGTACTTGTAGAGTGAATCCACACATACAACAACATAAAGTGTTCTCTGGAGTCTTAGTTTTGGATTAAGTGGTACCTCTGCAGCGTTTTTCTTTCGCAATACCCTGTAGGTTTGGAGGAATTGACCACCCAATGTACTTTTTTGAATGCTTAATAATAAAACTTCAAAAAGGGATTTTGCACCACAAACTGCAATTACTTTTATTTTGCTTTTGGGGTAAATACGAGTTTTAAAAGTCCCCTTAGACATTTCTTGGTCTATTTAGAAATTTTTTTGAAGATGATGTGGTACAGTTTTCAGAGTTACTTGACAATGTATGATTCCTACTCTTTGACTCATTAGAACAAAAATAGCAGCAGCTTACCCACAAACAAAAATTAAACACAGAGCTGGCTTAAATAATTAAACCAAAAC